TTCCGTCGTCACTGTGGATTTGCTGCTCTGGTGTGCCTCTCGCCCTCCCCACCTCCGTGAACTCGGGTACAGGTTTGCTTCCTCCAGCAGTGGCCCCCGCCCCAGGTGCCAGGCCCAAAGCCCGGCCTGGTACATAACTGTGGATGAGACAGCCCCTGCCACCTCCCCTCGGCCTCTCATCCACCTCAGCCTGGTGCCACGTCAGCCCATACCCCTCCACATGCACCTCTGCTCCTGGCGCACCACACATAGCCACACGCAGACGTGTGTGTGCACCTGCGTACTCCCACACACGTACATGGACCTGCACACACACGCATATGACTAGACCAGTACATACACACGTACGCAGTCCTACAGACTCACACACAGATCTGCATGCATGCAACCACAGACACACACATAGACACATGCACGCCACCACACAGTCACAAATGTGCAGCTGCACGGTGGGCTCTTCCTGGTTGGCTCTGCCCGCCCCTCACCTGTACCTCTCTCCTTCTCTCTCTATGTCCAGCCACTCTGCCTTCCTTTAGTTCCCCGGTCACCATGGTTCCTCTCTCCTCCCTGCTTCTCCGTCTCCCACAGGGCCTTTGCACATGTTCCCCCTCTGCTTGGTACACTGTTTCCCTCCTCTGTTCCTCAGTAATTTCCAGCTGGACCCAGCAGTGCTGTGGTGGGGGTGTCGGGCCCTGGGGACCCACGAGCAGTTACTGGGCCAAGGAACAATGTGGTTGTCTAGCCCTTGGCCTTTTGCCTCTGGGCCAACTCCGGGAGTCCTTGGAGGTTCAGTAAAGCCCAGGTTAGACTCCAAGAGAGGAAGGACTGGCAGGAGGCTCAGAGAGGACTCCTGCTCGCAGGCCTCCTTCTCTGCATCCACGCATAGCCCCGAGCCCCCGCGGGTTCCAGGGCACTGAGCACTCACACCCCCCAGAGTGGGGCTGAGCCCCGCAGACCTGCAGGGAGAACTGAGTGGGGCCTTCTGCCTGTTGGGCTCTGGTGATCTGAAAGAAGAGAGTGCCTCTAACAGAGGGACCCACCTCGGATGTCACTGTTGGTGGCAGCCCCATGTGGATGGCAGAGCTCCGACACTTGGCTGTCCCTGCTTTCAGTTCTTACGGGTATACACCCAGAAGTGGAACTGCTGCATCACATGGTAATTCTATGTTTAATTGTTTGAGGAATCGCCATACTGTTTTCCATCCCAGCTGCACCGTTTTATATTCCCACCAGCAATGTGTGAGGGTTCCAATTTCTCCACTTCATCACCAAGGCTTGTTATTATGTTTTGTTTTTTGATAGTAGCCATCCCTCTGGGTGTCTGGGTATGCAGTGGTATCTATTCATGGTTTGGATTTGCATTTCCCCAATGATTAGTGTCGTTGAGCATCTTCTTATGTGCTAGTGGCCATCTGTGCATCTTTGGAGAAATGTCCATTCAAGTCCTTTGCCCAGTTTTGAATGGGGTTGTTTGTGTTTTTGTTGCTGAGTTGTCTGTATAGTCTAGATATTAATGCCTTATCAGATAGGTGACTTGCAAGTGTTTTCTTCCATCCTGTGGGTTGCCATTTTACCTGTTGACAGTATCTTTTGATGCACAAATTTGTAAAATTTTTGTGAAGTCCAGTTTGTCTATTTTTTCTTTTGTTGACTGTGCCTTTTGTGTCATATCCAAGAAATCATTGCCAAATCCAGTGTCATGCCGCTTTTGCCCTATGTTTTCTTCTAAGAGTTTTATAGTTTTAGGTCTTACATGTAAGCCTTTGATCCATTTTAACTTAATTTTTATATATGGTGTTTGGTAAGGGCCTCACCACTTTTAAGGAAATCCCAGCCTGGCGGGAGAGACCAGAGAAAGGGAAGTGGCAGTGGGGAGGCACAGGCAGTGGAGGGGGACAGGGTGCCCGCCGACAGGGGCGGCAGCCGTGTGAACTGGCCTGTGAAGAACCAAGTTCTGGTGCAGGAGGGAGGTGAGAGGCGCCGCTGCCGAGGAGCAGCTGGGGTCAGGAGCAAGCCCTCCGGAGAACAGCCTGTGCTGGGCCTGGCGGGCTCCCCGGGCCCAGGCTGCAGAGGGAAGGATTTGGGTTTGAGAAGCACCCAAGGCAGGGGGACCGTGCGCGGCGCTGCAGGGAAGCAGCCGACATCTCCTGTTCAGGTGCAGCTCTCCCAGAGGCAAGGGAGAGGCCGTGTCATCTGCCCAGGCTAGACCATTTCCCAAGAGTGGGTCACTGCAGGGTGCCCCGAGACATGGAGACCTAGCATCTGGGGGCCCGCTTGTCTCAGGTGGCAGTGAACAGTGGGAGGAACTTGCTCTTCTGGGTGGTCTTTGTCCCTGTCCCTGAGCAGCTGGGGGACAGGTGGTGACTTGGGCCTTGCTATACCTCAGATTTTAAAACATAAAATTGAGAAAAATGGTAATGAAGAGCATGGGGCACCCCGGCCTGCCTGGCGTTGCCTCCAGGAGGGAGGGCACTGGCTTTCCTGCTGGAGTGACAGCACTGGCAGGGAGGGCCCCAGGTGCCCTGAGTGGCTGCTGGGGTGGAACAAGATGTCCCGGGCAGCTGGCTGAGGATTTGGGACTCCTTTCCCCCCCCTGAGGGGCTGCCGGGTCATCAGCAGGGACCGGGGAACAGCCACTGGGTCCCTGCCCCACACGCTCACAGTCCATGGCAGAGGGGGCAAGGCCCCGGTGGGACGAGAGACGGGGCCTTGTTAATGCCATGACACTTGTTTACAAATCTTTCTTATGACAAAACTTCACTGAAGAAAAAAGAGGAAATATGGTAAAATGCAAAGAAGAAAAAAAATCCCTGTAATTCTACAACCTAGAACTCATTGCTGCTTGGTGAGTACCTTCCCAGACCTCTGCTCACATGGCAAATGCTCGCACATGTGTGAGCGTGTGTGCTGCCTGTGTCATGTACATGTCTTCCTGCAACATGCGCTCCTTGAGCACCCACCCTGCACCTGGGGCCGGGGCTCGTCGGAGGGCTTGCATTCTAAGCATAATTTCTTACCTCGTTGGGACTGTGCTGACTGACCATCCATTTAATCACAGCTCTCTTGGCAGAGACGTTTCCTAGTTCATCCCTTATCTGTGGGCTGTGAGACTGCGGAGAAGCAGGAAAGTTCCTCATCCTCTCCACGTCTGACTCCTTCCCTCCTTCCTCCCTCCCACCAGCGCTTACTAAGTGCCCGCTCTGTGCCGCCCCGCACTGCTCTCGGGCCCTGCTCTTCCCGCACTCTGTCCTGGGAAGAGGCAGCATTAGCACACGGGCCATGCTTGGTCCCACGTTCCCAGGCGTGCCGCAGAGGGCAGGGCAGGGTTGGAAGCTGTCTGAGGAGGCGAACAAGGGGGCGCTCAGAGGTGACGGGGACAGTGGGGGACGGGCTGCCACTTGCTGGGTACCAGGCTCTGCACTGGACACTGTACCTCTCACAGACACTTGTGACCAGTGAGGGTCAGGCTCTGAGATGTGGAGACACATGCCTGGGGAACAGTGGGGGCACATCGCCCTGGGGGGAGAGGCGAGTGAGAGGTGCTTGAAGCGCCCCTGGCTGCGGAGGCAGGCGGGGGCCCCAGGGAGAGAAGGGGCACAGGGGGTCTGCTTCAGAGCGGGATTGCTGGAACCAGCGGGCACGGAGCCAGCTGGGAGAACGGACAGGTGGGGAGACCAGACAAGGCCCTTGGCTCCCAGAGTCTGTTGGACTCAGGTCCTTCCTGCCCAGGGCCTGCCATGGAGGGAATGGGGGCGTTGGAGGGGTGAACACTGGCCATGGCAGAATGGTAAGGCTGCGGGGGTCAGCCAGGCAGGGACAGAGGTTGGAGGAAGGCGGCAAGAGGTGGGGGGGGTGAGGGGAGCAGACACTGCCCTGGGCTCCCAGTTGGGGCCAAAGCCTGAGCTTTGGGGCTGCCTGGTGGGGAGGGCCCTGGCCCAGGTGCCCGCAGTCATTGGGGGAGCCCTGGGAAGAGCATACAGGTGTCCTGGGTCAACAGGTGTCTGGCAGAAATTGGGGCTTTGAGGCTCTGCCCTAGCTGTGAACACAACTGTTCCTTATTCACAACAGAGCAGGGGTGAGGACATGAAAGACTTGGCCTGGGACCGGGGAGCCTCTGGGCTGCCCCTGACTTGCCTGGACTCAGTGATTCTTGATGCCCTTGGACATGCTCTGGCCTGTCCTGCCTCCCACACCTGGGCTGCCGCCCTGTGCCACCCCGTCCCCTCTACCTCCCCGTCCCCGCTCCACCAGCCCCTGCTCCCACCACTCGGCCTGCCCAGCCCAAGCCTCCCTCCACCTCACCCCCAGGAGTGAGGCCACCCTGCCCACCCGAGAGCCTCATCCCCAGGCTGCTGTCCACCCTGTGGTGCTCCCAGCCTGCGGCCTCCACTTTGCTCTGTTCCTTGCCTGTCTGCTGCCTCCCAGGCCTGGACAGCCTCCTGGTGAACATCCTGTCCTGGGAGAAAGCAGGAGTGACCAGCTCCCACGGGGGGCGGGGTAAGAGTAGGGGGCACTCAGTTACCCTGGCCTGGGACCCCACCGTAATCCAGGGAGAGGCTAAGCCCCAGCGATGCTGCAGCACACGTGGGTACAGCCCCAGCAGCTGCAGGAGAGGGTGCAGGGGGCATCACAGCGGGATTGCTGTATTGAATCCTAATCACCACCAGACGGGAGACTGAGGCTCAGGGACGGTGAGGTCGGCCAGGTCCAGTGGGCAGGGAGGGGCAGCGGAGCCCAGGTTCACTCCCATCTTCGAAGACCCTCAGGCCAAGGTCCTGGTATAGCACTAAGCGCTCTTTCCTGAGCACCTGGCTTCAGGCAAACTGGCCACTGGGAGGGGCTTGTGGTGCTGCGGCCGGGTGTGTTTGTTTTGCTGTGATTTGGGCAGGAACTCTGCAGACCCCCACGGCGGGGAGGGGGTTTGATTCACTGTTCCCCAGGCCACTTCCATCCCGAGGGCTGCCATTCCTGCCCTGCCTGCGGTGGGAGGAGGCTCACCCTGTTTTCTGTGTTGGCAGGTGGAGGGCGGATGCCCAAGGCAGGGGGGCCGCAGGGAGCGCCCATAGCACTGGCCCCGGCGGCCAGCCCTCCAGCCGCGCTCTGCAGCATCACCACAGCAACCTGTGACCAGACGTCAACAGCCTAGGCAGGCGCCAGCGGACTACTTCCCACCCTCGGGGAGACAGGGAATGACTGCGGTGAATCAGGCCCCACGGTGGCCCGGGGAGGTGGAGTGTCACTAGAAGGAGGGCGTGGCCGCCTCCGCAGCACGCGAGCGCCATGCCAGCTGGAGAAGAGGCACTGGGGCAGGGGCTGCACTGTGGCACGGCCTCGCCCCCCAACCCGCGCTGAGCACCTCAAGGGCAGCTGGGCTCTGTCTGTCGGGCACACCTGCCCGCATCTCAGTGTCCCCGCTGCGTGGCGACAGGGAGAGGCTCCCCGTCCGTGCTCCGCCTCTGGGCCTGCCGCTGCCGGACCATGGGATGTCGGCAAAGCTCAGAGGAGAAAGAGGCGGCGCGGCGGTCCCGGAGAATCGACCGCCACCTGCGCTCAGAGAGCCAGCGGCAGCGCCGTGAGATCAAGCTGCTCCTGCTGGGCACCAGCAACTCGGGCAAGAGCACCATTGTGAAGCAGATGAAGATCATCCACAGCGGCGGCTTCAACCTGGAGGCCTGCAAGGAGTACAAGCCCCTCATCATCTACAACGCCATCGACTCGCTGACCCGCATCATCCGTGCCCTGGCCGCCCTCAAGATCGACTTCCACAACCCCGACCGCGCCTACGACGCCGTCCAGCTCTTCGCACTGACGGGCCCCGCCGAGAGCAAGGGCGAGATCACGCCCGAGCTGCTGGGCGTCATGCGGCGGCTATGGGCCGACCCTGGGGCACAGGCCTGCTTTGGGCGCTCCAGCGAGTACCACCTGGAGGACAATGCTGCCTACTACCTGAATGACCTGGAGCGCATCGCCGCGCCCGACTACATCCCCACAGTCGAGGACATCCTGCGCTCCCGAGACATGACCACCGGCATCGTGGAGAACAAGTTCACCTTCAAGGAGCTCACCTTCAAGATGGTGGATGTGGGCGGGCAGAGGTCAGAGCGCAAAAAGTGGATCCACTGCTTCGAGGGCGTCACGGCCATCATCTTCTGTGTGGAGCTTAGCGGCTATGACCTGAAGCTCTATGAAGACAACCAGACGGTGAGTGGCCGGGCTTTTCCTCTCTTGTTCCTGCCGCCACTGGCTCCTGGGATGCAGGTAGGCTTGTTGGTGTGTCGCAGGGCGGAGCGGGAGAGGCTGCTGTCAGGGGAGCCAGGGCTGCTCCATCAAGGCACCGTCTCTGGGAGCGTGGCGGGTGTCACGGGCACCACAGGACCTCAGGGTGGCGCCTGGTGTCAGGACGTCTGCCCCATCTGGGGGGCTCCGCTCTCACCTCAATGCCGTGACAGGCCCTCAGGGCTCCGAACACCCTCCAAGTAACTGCCATATGCGGGGCTCTACCGGGCAGGGATGCCCTCTCGGCCATGGCCGCCCTCACCCAGCTGTGGACAGCACTGCGCTCATAGCACTCGTAGGCCTCACATGGCCAGGCAGCTCCTGTCTGGGTACCTCGAGCAGACCACACCCCAGGCCTGACACACTCAGGGCGCAGAGGGCCAGTCCTGCTGAGCGGGGCCTCGGCCCCGAGACCCCCATGTTGCTCAGAGCCCAGAGGAGGGGCTCTTGGCTGCCGGGGGTTGGAGAAGGCTTGCTGGGGAGGAGGCAGGGGAAGCTGGGCGCCATGAGGGCCTTCGCTGCAGGTGAGGTTGGGCTGCAGTCAGGTGCGTGGGGAGTAACCCTGGAGGCCGGGAGGGAGGTTGTCCTCTGCAGGACAAGAGGGGACAGAGCCCAGGTCAGGCATCTAGTTGTTGGTCCATATGGCTGTTCAGTAACTGCAGAAAGCTCCTACCAGTCCCAGGCACCATGCTGGGTCCCAGAAACAGCAGCTACGGCCCCACAACCGCGTCCAGATCTTGAGAGTCTTGTGGCAATAGGGTTAAGATCCATTTCTGAGGTTTCATCCCCAAGGGTTGGGCGGGTGTGGGGATTCTTTCAGGCCTTCAGCCCACACTGAGAACCACTATGTGGGGGAGGGGGCTCAGAGGCACACGGTGTGGGAGGCCCCAGAGGTGGGGGCAGTGCAGGGAGGCGCCGAGGGCAACCTGGGCCCAGTGCTGACCGGTGGGGGCTTGAGGGGGAGCTGCCAGGCCCCTGGCAAGGAGAAGGTGGGCAATACGCTGCAGGCCCAACTGAGGCAGAAGGCCCAGCACACGAGGCTCTGCGGTCTCCCTGGGTGCCCAGGAGTGGCAGTGGTGGAGGCTGCGCAGCCAGACAAGGGCTGAGCATAGCCAGGGCCACCCCGCCCAGCTGTCCCTGCAGCAGAGGCTTTGTGCCAGGCAGGAGCACTGGGCAGAGACCCAGAATCTGCCCTTAAGAGGCCTTTGATCATGGGGGTTGGGGGCATGGAGGCAAACAGGGTGTCCACAAGGAGTTGTAAGTGGTGTGGGGCTGTGGGTACCAGGGGCTCAGGGAGGCTGCGAGCTGGCAGGACCCTAGGGGAAGGGGTGATGATGCCCTGGTGGAATCCACCATGCTGGGAGATGAGGGGTCAGCCTCCAGGGTCCAGGGGACAGGGGAAATGGCAAAGAAAGGGCTTGCTCCTTCACCCGGTCTTTTTAAGGCAGGTGGTGGCTTTATTCTTTGAGTTCAGCCGGAAGTCCTGCTTGGGCCTGTGGCCCTGAGGAAGTCTGTGGACGGCTGCAGGCTGTGGCCACTGTGCTGGGCACTTGAGTGTTTTTCTGGGTAGAGAGAGGTCTGCAGCTTTCATCAGGTCCGAAAGCAGGCCCAGCTCTTGGAGGAAGGGAAGCAGCTGCAGGCGGCCTGGAGACAGGAGGCAGGGCTCTCCTCACTGCCCATCCCTGCATCTGGAGGTCTCCCCAGGGCTGTGCCCAGGCTGTGATGGTGTCCCCAGTGGGAGGACACTGCATCCGCAGGGGCAGGGCAAGTCTTGCTCTTGGTGCTGTGTGGTCTCTCGGGCTTCAGGCCCTCCTACTCCTCTGCCTGCCCCTACTTCAGCACCACGTGTGGTTCTGGGCAGACGCGACAGCCCAGCGGATGAGTAAAGTCAGGCTCCTTGACAAGGCATCACTGTGGACAGAGGGCCTCTGGCTGACCAGGCTGTAAGGCAGGGCAAGGTACCCCAGCTAGGCCCCGGGACGCGGGCTCGGTGGTCGGCTCTCCAGGCTTCTCCCTGTCGCTGCTGTGTTCTGAGGCTGGTGATAACCTGTGCTCTGAGGCCTTCTGGGGGCCTGGATCTCAGGGCTGCCTCATCTGTCATCTCCAGGGTGGGTGTGGCGAATTCCCCAGGTGTCAGGCCGGGCTCCCAGACCATCTTTTGGCAGGCTCTGCCCGCCGAGCCTGTGCCCACAGGTGTGCCAGGATGTGGGAGGCAGGATGCCTGGGCACTGAGTTGGTCCCGTGTTTCATGGAGGGATTTGGCTATCATCTCTGCTCTCTAAACCTGTAACCAGGAGGTGGCCCAAGTGTCCTCAAGATAGGCCCAAGGCCAGGCCTTCTCCTGCCCGAGGCTTTCCCAGGCCCATCCCCACCTCCTCGGTTCCTGTCTCAGCTCTCTGCTCTGGCCTTCATGGCTTGTTTCACTCCTGAATGTGCTCTGCTCTCTCCAGCCTTAAGTGCGTGACCACCCTGTCCCCTGCCCCTTGCTCCCCTGCCCCCGTCCTCAGGTCTTATCTCAGGTGTCACCTCCTTGAGAGGTCTTCCCTGACCCCAGCCTGATGCCTACACGCCCTTCCATTGCCATCATTCCTTACAGGGTGGGTCCCCGCTTGTGTGCAGGCCAGTGGCTGCCCAGCTGGGCTGGGTGGACGACTGGGCGGAAAGGTAGCCCCATGGAGACTTGCATCTCTAGCTGTCTCCTGGCCGTGTCCCTATGGAGGGCCACGGTGGGCAGCCCTGGGCGGGGACAATGGCCACTGGCCTGGCTGTGGGGTTCTTGTGAGGCCCATGCTTACCCCCTGGAGGCAGGGAGGCTCTGGGGCCATCCAGAGCTTTTTCTGAAGGGAGGGGCTGGCAGCCAGGCCTGCGCCCCCCACCCCCCACCACCACCCTAGTCTTAGCAGTCCTGGGGAGGTAGTTGTTCACCGAAAAAGGAAATTCTCGATGAGAAACAAGTGAGGCTGGAAATTCACTGGATTCCACATGCTTCTGACCTTTCACGCTCTACCAGCAATATCTCAGGATGGAAAACAAACAGGCTGCCGAGGAAAGACAATACCCTTCGTGATTCCTCCAGCCGGCTGACCGCCGAGGTGGGCTGGCCGCCCGGGGGAGAGCAGGGCCAGGCGGCGAGGAGGGCCTGGAGCTCCCAGCGCCTGCAGGCAGCTCCTGTCACCACCACTGGCACGTCCCTTCTGTGCCCTGCCCTCTGCCCGCCCGGCCAAGGCGAGTGCGCCCTAGGGGCCGGGACACAGCTGCCACCTCTGCCTTCTTTTTTTTTTTTAAAGATTTTATTTATTCATTTTTCCCCCCAAAGCCCCAGTAGACAGTTGCATGTCATAGGTTCACATCCCTCTAGTTGCTGCACGCGGGACTCGGCCTCCCGCTGGACGGAGAAGTGGTGCCCCGGGGCATGCCCGGGACCCGAACCCGGGCCGCCAGCATCAGAGCGCGCTCACTTAACCGCTAAGCCACGGAGCCGGCCCTCACCTCTGCCTTCTGAAGGGCCCAGAACTGTCCTCCTCACGCCCTGGCAAAGGCAAGACAGCCAAGGACAGGCCATGCTGATTTTTGCAGACACCAAAGGAAGCTGGGGCCCTGTGCCAGGCTCTGGACACGGCTCCTGAGAGCTCTTCTCCCCACCGAGCTCCCAAGGCCTTGTCTTCCCTCTGACAGAAGGCTGGCGGAGTCCCCCACCCCCACCCACATCCGCCCGCTGGCATCTGCGTCAGCACGTTGCCAAGAGTAACGTCAGGATCTCTGGGCTCCTGGGCGTGGAGGGCTGCAGCGGGCGCCGGGCAGCACCTGGGCAGGGGGAAGCAGATTCCGGGGCGCCCGTGGACCATGGCAATGAGCAGATACAAGGAGCTACACCCAGCCTTGACGATGACTCCTGGCCCTCGTCCTCGAAGGATTTAATGGGTCCTCGGCCTGCCTGGGGCTGTGTTCCCCTGTGCAGTCCTAGCAGGCACCTAGAGGCTCCAAAGTCAAGTGGGCTTTCACTCTCCCGACATGGGGCGCCCCCAGACAGTGTGGGTGGCCCAGGGACACATCACCTGACTGATCCTATGGAGCCACAGCCCTGCCTGTTGTCCTTGTCATGGGACGGGGGGCAGGTGGGGGCGCAGGACAAGTCATGGGCCGAGCTGGGCCCAGGGCCCAAGCCCGTAGTTTACAGCAGCTGTGGGCCCTCCCTAAGCCACCTGCTGCAGGGGCCAAGCCAGGACGCCTTGCCCCCTGGCCTGCCCTCTACGGGAGCGCCACTTCCTGGCAGCTTGGCCTTCTGTCTCTGCCTGTTCCGTGGCCTCTTCCAGGAGTGAAGAAAGACAACGGCTTTAAACTTGGAGGCTCGCTGTGGCCTCACTCAAGCACGGGGGTGCTGGCTGGCTGCCCACCTCACCATGACAGCCCCAAGAGGTCACGTGCCCCTGCATCCCCGTGTCCGTTGTGGGTTCCTCACTCAGCTGGCTGTCGCAGGGGCTCTGCCCCCTCCTCTTTAGTGCCCTGCCAGGCGGGAGCCTAACATCCTGCTGGGAACTGTGGGAAAGTGTGGGGGGCAGGCACTTGCCGCCCAACCTCTGCCCCTGCAGATCTGCTCATGGGCTCGGCGGCCACTTGGTGGACTGATCCTTCCGAAGGGACAGATTAGAAGGCCTGGTTATAAAGTGTCAGAGTGCTCTCACGTGAAACCCCCAGGGAGCTTGCTCACTGTCCATTTCCTGGTGGAGCTGTTGGCCTTCCAGCACTAACTGCAGCAGGCCTGTTGTACACCTGCTAGGCGCTTGCTGTGTCCCTGCTGTGCAGGTGCGAGGCCCAGGCTAGGGGCCGGACGCCACGGCAAGCCTGACTATCCCCGCAGCACGTGGAGCTGGGGGAGGAGGCACTCACAAACAGCACAGTCACAGCATTTTTTCTACAAACCCTCA